CAGAAACGTGCGTACGCACGGTTTTATAAATATGAATTATTTTTGGCGTACGCCATTTCCGCCTTTTGGCCGTATGTTCACTTTTAGTATGGTTTCCATGCAATCTTTTATAAATCTGACCCCAGAGCTGTTGCCTGTGARTTGAATGTTCATTTCTCTACCATAAGCTGACTCCAAAGATGTTTCAGAGAATTTGACARTACATCCAAAGGGCCTCACAATTGCAGGACCTACACATTYAACATGTTCATCTCCAAGATYGTCTGAGACCAGCCACYGGGACAGCTGCTGAAATAATCTATTTGCACAACCAAAGAATTTCTGGACAAACTGTCAGAAACCATCTCAGGGAAGCACATCTTCATGTTCATCGACTTCAGCATGGTCTCAACCTGATTGCAGTTCATMGTCGTAACTGACTTGAGTGAGCAAATGCTCACATTTGATGGCATCTGACACGTTGGAGAGGTATACTCTAGTGATGTGCAGATCGATACTGAAATATCAATACTACCAACACCAGAACTTTATGTTCTAGAATTGATACTAAACTCAAAATATCGATACTTTGACAAGTTAGTTATTTCAATAATGTATATCATTAACTGGAAAATATTAGAAAATAAACTATTCCAATCTTGTGGGAGGGAACTAAATTTTCTTCCACTTGGGTAATGCATGAGCACAGTGGCAGGGCTCAGTCAGTCACTCAGTCTGTTGATGTATGGCAGGTCATTTTAACATAAAATCTACTTCATCTGTAATTTAATTCTAGATGAGGGGTTCTCAAAATTTTTCATGCCATGGCTCCCCCAAACAGCATTAGCTCTGGCCAGGGACCTTCTTGCAAACCCACAAACAATGCAACAAAATATACACAATAGGCCTGTCACGATAACAAATTTTGCTGGGCGATTAATTGTCTCACAAATTATTGCGATAAGCGATAATATTGCCTGGTGACCATTTTACAACTAATAATTATAAAAGCATAATATGTAAGTGTAATAAATCAATAAACTTTAATTTTTAAAGAATGTTTAACAAAGTGGACTCAGTGCCTCCAACAAAAAATGCACTTGAATAAAAAAACCCAAAAAACAACAAAATGCAAATTAAAACACCACACAAAACTAAGAAAGTAAATAAACAATATTGAAGAGCAGCATCTCTTTAGAGA